CAAGGTCAATCCTGACGCTACAGAGTACTCAAACGTCGGCGCTCTACTGCTGGACCCAAGTTGTTCCGGCAGTGGAATCGTTGCACGCGATGAGATGCCGGAGCTACACATACCGGAGATGCCCGGTGCGAAACCGGCCAAAGCCCAAACACCAAAGGAAAAGAAGCGGAAACGGAAGGACGAAGAGGTGCAGCCCAAGACTATGATGGTTGACGACGACGGAGAGACAACGGTTGTCTCATCAGCAAAGGAGTTACAGGCGAGGATTGAAGCCTTGGCGTCGTTCCAGCTGACTCTTCTGCTTCATGCGATGAAGTTCCCGGCCGCCAAGAGGATCACATACTCCACGTGTTCTCTGTACGCCGGCGAGAACGAGCATGTCGTCATCAAAGCGCTGGAGTCCGAAATCGCGAAAGAGCGAGGCTGGAGGATACTCAAAAGGGAAGACCAAGTGCGAGGGATGCGCGATTGGCCAGTCCGTGGTGATCTCGATGCAGCTGGCGCAAACGAAGAGGTCGCTGATGCCGTTATCAGAGCTTACAAAAACGACGAGCACTGCGTCATGGGCTTCTTCGTCGCGGCTTTTGTTCGCGATCCTTCTGCAGCTGTCGATGAGGATGGACCATATCTTCGGGACGACAAGGGCCGGATCATAAGGGACGCCATGGGCATACCGACGCTCAAATCCACGGGCAAGAAAGCTATTGAGGCTGATGAGATGTTTGGCTCCTATGACCAAGTTGTCATTGACCCGACGAAAGGTCTTGGGGATGGAGCAAAGGACGGCGACGGACCATATCTGCGCGACGAAAAGGGGCGGATTATCAGGGACTCAAACGGCATGCCTACGCTCAAGCCTAGCTTATCGGCGAAGACCGCCGATGAAGAGGATGACGATGATAGCTGGGACGGCATCGAAGACTAAGGAGCGATGCTGCGTTGTCCGGTTTTCCACATTCCCATTGGTCGTCCTTATTCGACTACATGAGGTCGGGAACCTGTGTGTTTCCCGGCATTACTCGGACTTCCAATACGAATCTTGAACACACGATATGAGTCGTCAACTACATCAGAATGAAGTGATACGATCGAGCACCTTCCACAAGGGTCGAAGGTTTATCGGTACTCGCGGGATCGATAAGATCAAATCACATGCTATCCGGCTCTAGCACGGCGTATGAAGACACCAAGGACGAGCGCCGCCACGTGGTGGATCCTGCTCTGCCCTACGAATGATCTACGAATACCACCCGGACGTTGGCCGATCAGTGACATCACCAAAGCCTCTGTCGGGACGATTCAAAGGTGTGTTCAGATGAGGCAGCACCAGATCAGGCGGCAGAGCGGAAACACGGCGTTTCACTTGGCCGCATATGCAACCACCGGCGATAATGTCAAATACCAGTTGCTTGTTTCCGTCCGCTCGATATTAGCAATTTGTCAGATTCTTCTATTACGCGGCCAAGAGAAGCTTGTGATCTCAAAAAAGTCTTGACAGCGGAAACCCGCCGAGGGTGGGGGTTCATTCTTCCTCGGTCAACCTCGAGTCAAACTTTTGCGATGCCAGATACTAGCTGGACTTGGCATGTACATAACACAGTATACTCCATGCCCTCCCAGAGGTTTGGTGGAGGCTGAATACGCAGTTCGATACTCTCTTCGGTGCAACTTTCGAGGAGTTAATGGACCTAAAGTCGATGCGACGAATACGGTCGAAGGCGCGGCCCATGGTGAACGGAATTCCGGTCCCTTGGTCTCCTTTTGTCAGTTTCCTTCTGTTGTATTACTATTCAATATCTTTTCTGCTATCTGCTGGCGAGTGCCAAGAACTTTTCCTAGGGTGCAAGTACCTATGGGTCTTCCAGCCGAGCCGAGGCTTGCCTTGCACGTTGGGTTCCCGTTCCCGGTCCAATCCCGACGCTACCAAGTAGCCCGCATGTCTCCCGTCAGATCCGTCAAGCTTAACCACGTGTCATGGCGAAATGACGGCGGTACAATGTAGGGACATCCCGATCTTCTTGCACAATTCACAGCCTTGCTCCTTGCATCGATCTCAAAGTGGAGGTCGCATCGGGCTATAGGGCATCCGTCGTACCGGAAACGGCCCTGTCTAGCCACTCAGAGCCTCCTATCCATGACGCAGAGCCGCGGAGCTTGGCATATGGCGGCAAGGCTTGCCTGTGCATAAGCTGTGCACAACTTCCTCGGGCCAGGATGTCGATAGCATACAGTAGTCATGGACCACAGGACGGAGCAAGGCCATTCCCGCGGTGGAGTCAGGTCGGAGAGTAGGCGAGAATTCTCTCCGTCCTTGTCGCGGCGAAGAGGGTATATAGGATGCCGGGGCCCCTTTGCCGTGTTTTGTGACGTTCTTGCTTTATGTTGTTTGGTTAGGAGACTGTCTTGAACCACCCGCACCGCAACGCTCATTACTCCAACGCCATACGTCGGCTACAGGACAAGCACAGAACGCCAACATGGCTTCGTCAACACCACAATCGTCTGCTTCAACACTGGCAGGGGGTGAGATAGAACGAGATGTCGAGGCTCTGAAGGCCAGGCCGGAGCACATATCACACATGAAGCTGGTATGGGACCAGGCCGGCATCACCAACTCGGTTCTCGACCACCAGTACCCCGGACATGGAACCGCGGAGTCACCGTACCTCGTCGACTTCCTACTGGAGGACGCGCACAATCCCCTTCTGTTCCCGGCGTGGAAGAAATGGATGATCACATTGCTCCAGGCCATCGCCACGCTGGCGGTCGCCTTCGTGAGCACGGCTTTCTCTGGCGGTATCAAGGAGGTGATGATGACCTTCAAGATCGACACTGAGGTCGCCATCCTGGGTATTTCGCTCTTCGTTCTCGGCTTTGCCATTGGTCCTCTGTTATGGGCACCCCTGAGTGGTATGTTTACTCCCCTATTCCCTCTGGCACTGTGGAACTCGACTGACAACACGCTCTAGAATTCTACGGCCGCCGGCTACTCTTCTTCATCACCTATGCCGCTCTCACTGCTTTCAACGCTGGTGCCGCCGGTGCCCAGAACATCTGGACCCTGATCATCCTCCGCTTCTTCGCCGGTTCCTTCGGATCCTCGCCCCTGACCAACTCGGGAGGCGTCATCGCCGACATGTTCCACGCCAACGAGCGCGGCCTCGCCGGTGCCGTCTTCGCCGTCGCCCCCTTCCTCGGGCCTTGTATTGGCCCCATCGTCGGCGGCTTCTTGGGCGAGGCCGAGGGCTGGCGCTGGGTCGAGGGCCTCATGGCCATCTTCACCGGCGTCGTCTGGATCGTCGTCACAGCCGTCGTGCCCGAGACCTACGCGCCCGTCCTCCTCCGCAAGCGCGCCGCCAAGCTGTCCAAGATCACGGGCAAGGTGTACATGTCCCGCGCCGACTTCAGCAACAAGAAGACCATGTCGGCCCAGTTCAAGGTCGCCCTGCAGCGGCCCTGGGTGCTCCTCTTCCGCGAGCCCATCGTCCTCCTGACGGGCATCTACATCGCCATCATCTACGGCACGCTCTACATGCTCTTCGCCGCCTTCCCCATCGTCTTCCAGCAGTACCGCGGCTGGAGCGCCGGCGTCGGCGGCCTGGCCTTCATCGGCGTCGCCGTCGGCATGATGATCGCCGTCGTCTACGCCGCCTTCGACAACAAGCGCTACCAGGCCGTCGCCCGCGCCTGCGGCGGCGCCGCCCCGCCCGAGGCCCGGCTCCCGCCCGCCATCATCGGCTCCGTCCTGCTCCCCGTCGGCCTCTTCTGGTTCGCCTGGACGTGCCAGCCCAGCATCCACTGGGTCGTGCCCATCATCGCCTCGGGCTTCTTCGCCTGCGGCCTCGTGCTCGTCTTCCTGTCGCTGCTCAACTACCTCATCGACAGCTACGTGCTCTACGCCGCCTCCGTCCTCGCCGCCAACGCCGTGCTGCGTTCCCTCTTCGGCGCCGCCTTCCCCTTGTTTACGACGTACATGTACCGCAACCTCGGCCTGCACTGGGCGAGCAGCATCCCCGCCTTCCTGGCGCTGGCTTGCATGCCCTTCCCTTACCTGTTCTGGAAGTACGGAGGGCGGATCCGGATGAAGTGCAAGTTCGCCGCCGAGGCGGCGCGGACGCTGGAGATGATGAGGGCGCACCACGCCGCCCAGGCCTCGCCCGCCGCGCAGCAGCAGGAGAAGTCGGCTGCTCCTGCCGCTGGGGGCGGTGTGGTCAGCGACGACGATACTGTCGCTGGGTATGGTGCCAGTGACGACGACACTGCCGCCGAGGAGTCGCGGCCTGTCACGGCGAATGAGAAGGACGAGAAGAAGTTATAGACTATCTCTCTCTGTCTCTGTCTCTAAGAGGTTGCTGGGTTTTCCTTTCGTTATCAAAACGGTGACGGGTATGGGTTTACGATCTTTTGTTGCATTTGGAACAGTCTCTATCCAGTTTGACTGGCTTTGCATCAAGCGGCGTTTTATACCATTTGCTTTTTTGGCATGATGGATGGTTGGGATAGACAATAGATGGACAGACGGGAGATAGATAATACTTAATGGCGACATATCAACACTACTTTCTCCTATCTCACAAGTTGTGTTTCCTACTTCGAAGCCATCATCAAATCCAACACCACCCACTCCCTCCTCTGAGGACAATCTCCCGGCAACACTTTCACACTGTTGACTCAGTAACAACATCACATGCCAACAACACGATTTTCCTCCCACAACAAAACATCCATCATCTCAAATCTTCGCACACATTCATGCACAACACTCTCCGCAGTGGAACTTCCCCCCTTCTCAGTCATGACTCGTCCGCTCACTCCTAACCCACATCCAAACCCACAGTGCATGCATTACTACTGTAGTCAGTTTGTCCGTATCAGCAACGACTCATTACTGGGAGTAAGTCATGACTCTTTGTCCCCAGTCAGTGTGTGATCCCTCTACCCCCCTCCATGAGCCCTCGTACGGCTCCAGTGTTGCATCGAATCACACGCCCAAAGCAACATCCGGTATAGTGTAACGGTCAACATATCGCGTTTTCATAAAAGAAAAATCTCCTCACAAAGGAGTTTTTTCCGAAGCAAAATCCGCGGGGCTCGGGGTTCGATTCCCCGTACCGGAGTAATAATAACTTGATCATCATGATTGTATTCTTCTTTTTCTTTTTGCTTTTTTGTTTCGTTTGGGCAGGCAGGCCATATCTGGTCTTTTACTTTTTTCGATGCTATCACTTTCTATGTGCATTGGCGTATGCAGGCAGGTATGTATATAGCATGTTGCCAATGGAGATGAAGAAAAAGTGGTGGTTGTATTGTGACGAAAGAGGAATAGTTCGTGGCCAGGGTTCAGAATGAAGCATCGCCCTTTCCCCACGGGCGACAACCGATTTAAAGTCTAGACCAGAGTAATTAGAGGCAATGGTGAGTCAAAACAGATCGGGAAATATAGGGAACTGCCTTCGCCCAGGAGAAGACAGTCAAAGCAACAGGCAATAAAATGGTACCCTCTGCCCGTAGTAAGTAAGGAGAGAAGGAGGACGTGGAAAAAAGAGGAAACTTGCGCCCGGACCAGAGGGCCTCGAACCCCTGAGCTGCGGTCCTATCATCCCGCCGTGTTGACCAAGTTACACCAGTCCAGGTGACGGAACAGCACGGAGAAGAACACCATATAACCCAGTGCAGAGTCTATGACGGATAGATGGGGAATGTCACAGACATCCGTGGCGGGCGTCTGAAGTATCATCGGACGAGAGGTGCTGGGCCGAGAGTTGCGTCCGATGTCTTCGCTTGTTCGATTTCGGAGTGGTAATCAGCAAGTGCAAAAGTCATACGTCCTGAAGCGAGTCTACTTCCTCTTTGGTGCAGTAGAGCGCGCTGTTCTACCGGGGTCAACGACGGGAGTGTCAGGCTGGCAAATGCTGATATACCGCACGAGAGTGCATCGGGAAAGCATGGATGTGTTGGTATTTGGCCAGTAAATGCTAGGCAGAATATATGTCACCAGTTTCACCGCTTCCGACTTAACCCCTATCAATGTAAAACGTACAGTACACAAAACACAAAACCCCTACATCACCCAGTCTCTAACCACCACCAATAATCAACTGCCCCTCCCCAGGCCCCTCCTGCTCCCCCGTCCCAGCCTGCTTGTGCTTCGTGATCTCGAAGAACTCCGTCAGCCCCTTCACCACCTCGTCGACATTCATGTTGATAAGCGGCACCTTGTCGTATGACCCTTCCTTCATGATGGCCACCAGCGCCAAAAACCTGTCCACCTCGCGCAGCATGATCGGCCGCTGCGCATCGGAGAGCACCATGCCGCTCTCCGCCAGGTCGCAGCCGATCTGGTCGTCCAGCTTCTTCGGCCAGGGGGCCTGCTCCAGGCCCTCCTTCCAGCCGGGCCCGCGCTTCCAGCTGCCGTACACCTCGGTGAAGTCGATGATGACGTCCACGTAGTCGGAGCAGATCTCGTAGCTCGCCACGTCCTCCGGCGAGCTGTCGGTGGCGATGTAGATCTTGGTGTTGACGTCGAACAGGTAGGCCTTGTCGAACCGGCACGTCCGGCACAGCGAGGTGAGCATGGCCTCGAGCTGGCCGAGGCGGGGGATCAGCTTCTGGATGACCTTGCTGAAGGCCTCGAAGATGCTGTGATTGTAGATGCTCGTCAGGTGGAAGCTGATCATGGCATTCTCGAGCCCCTGGTCCGACAGCTCGTCCTGGATCCGGATCGTGACGTCGCGCTGGATGTCCATCTTGTAGTCGTCCGAGAGGCCGTCGACCTTGTGGATGAAGACCTCGATGACGATGTGCGGGTAGCTGCGCTGGAGGTGGAGGATGGTCGAGTTGAGCCGCGCGACGGCCTCGAGGTAGTCGTCCTGCGCGTCGATGACCCAGATCAGGGCGCCGACCTCGCCGAAGATGGCGTCCATGTCGAAGGTGAAGTTGGGGTTGTCGAAGATGTCGATCTGGCCGGGGAAGTCCCAGACTTGGAAGTCCATGAAGGAGCTGCGCAGGGGTTAGCATGCTGCTTAGGACATATGGTCATTAGGTTGCTTACTTTAAGCTGTCTTTCTGTATCCTAGCTGTGGATTCGAGAAATAGTGTCTCGTTGGGTGGGAGCTTGTGGAAGACGACGCTCGATATGGATGACTTTCCGCTTCTGTAGACCGTGTTAGGACACTCAGGCGAATGGTTGGGTGCAGTCGTACGTACCTCCGCTGGCCCATCAATAACAGACGAGGTTTGCCCTTCGCCAGGGGAGTAGCGGCGGCTGCTGGCCCCTTGGCTCCGTCTTTCTTATGTTGTAGTTGTCGATTCTGCTCGAAGATATGGTTTAGCCTTGCGGTCGCAGGACTGGTGTACAAGCCTCGGCGACGAGATGAAGAGTCGAGGTCCGCACTAGCGTCCGTGTGATTGCACCTTGACAGTGAGGAAGCCATGCTGAGACCCAATGCTCTCGAGCACTTGTGTGCTCGGCGGAGAGAGGCGTGATATAGACCTGGCTTGTCATGAAAGCACAGCGACGGACCACGATAGTGTAGGGCACGGGACCAGCTGGCTTCATACTTGGCGCCTCCATAGCACTTGCGAGGACGAATGCCACGTCATAAAACGTTTGCGCGGGAGGCAGGGTCATGGGAATTCTGCGCAGCTCTTTGTTCGTGCTCTGGAAACTTTCCCACAAGATTGGCTGCGGTCCGCGTTGCTCAGGGTGCGCAAAGATCTCTGTCAGACAGGGGAAATTCAGGTCCTACACGGACAGACACGTGAAAGACAGTGGACAGCCGACGCAGCCCTCCGTGAGGCTAGAAACCCATGGCTTTTGGGAGGAGTGGTTGCGCATATCAGCCACATGATCGTAAAGCGACGTCAACCTCGAGGTGACACAAGAGCTATAGGCCAACGTCGCTCGGAAGTGACTCAGTCTGAAGCTCCGTCTCCTGAGTCCCGGACAAGTAGCATGGACCACTAACTGCCACGGGGTTGATAAGTGTCGGTCGGCAACCAACAGTCGTCCGGGAGGTTGAAGGAGGCACGGGATTCGTGTCGTGGCGAGTGGTGCTGATCCAATAGTGTTGCAAGCGTGGCAGAAAAGAACCAGGCACTTGATATTGATCTTGTGGAACCTTCGGGACTGCAGAAGTCAATCGTGATAGGGTGACTGAGAAGAGACACAAAAACACCGACGGCATCCGGGGAAAAGACAGAGCTAACAAGGCCACAACTAGAGAAACGGATTGTCGGAAACTCACATCCATGTTTGATGTTGATTCAACCCCCTGCTAATTGTTGGGGTCCAGGAGGGCGTGTTTGCAATCGAGCTTAGGCTTGAGACGCCCAACTCACGGCCAGGTAGGAAAGCACCGATAGACCCAACTCCAGGCTAGATCGAATGTTGACCAAGGAGCTCAATTGACTTGGTGATAGCGCTGCCCGTGATGGGGCTGGGTCGAAGTGGAGGCTGGTAGTTGATTGTAAAAGCGGATGCGCTGTCTGAGACGTATAGGAGGTCCTATCAGGTGAAGTTTGGCAAAGAAACACTGTAAATGAGGATCACTATCACAGTCGAATGGATACTGGTGCGTGAGTATGTATAATTGATGATGTGTTGAGTCGTCGAAGCACGATAACAGGCACGCACTTGACGTACCTCGGCGCTCCACTTTCCGCTCGGTGAGGGACCTTTCACCTGAGCGGCGTGCACGGACCATACGTGATGACCTGCAAGTTTCTTTCAACTGTACTAACAGTATCCCACCGTTTTCATAGGGGGGCATTGTTAAGCAAAATATCACAACCTACGGCCTCTTCAAGATGACTCCCTCTCTTAACATGGGATTGTCGGTACAGACGATGCCAAAAACACTTAGTAAGAGTTCCGTCGAATTAGACATCATACTACGTCGGGTGCAATAGGAATAGTATGTGGCTGAAAGTGTTGAGCCACATCAGGACTCATCTCATTTCATCTATCTAAACAAAAACCTCCTCAACCCCCATAGAAACAAAAGAAGCGTGCCCACCTCATCCAAGGGAGCCGCCGTCAGCAAGCGAGGCACACGAAGCCATTCGCCGCCCATAACAGAAAAAAAAAAAGAAGTGAGGATAAAGCCTGTGTATGTGATAGCTTATACATGTATGTTGAAGTGAAGTTTTGGTGTCATGGCAATATCCAAATCTGCCCAATGAAAGGCCGACCAGATAAACCACAAGACCGGTTTCGTAAACAATCATCAGAAAAGATATGTGTTCTCCAACCTGAACCTTGTGTCATGACGCCGTTTTGTATCCGGTGCCCTCCCGGCCTTTTTCCCATCCCGACCAAGAAGTAAAGGAATGCCGATAGAATCTTAACACCAGGTGAAGTAAAACATCTCCCACACCAAGCAAAAAAAAGGCGCCGGTATGGAAACGTCCCCTTTACTCGTCCCCTATCAACGACGAGCGGACGGTCCCCTGCGGTGCAAAGCAAGGTGGTTGTGCGCATGCCTCTTGACCTTGTTGACCAACTTCGCCGTGCCATCGACCGAATAAACGCTCAGCGCCCACCCGCCGCCGCAGGTCTCTTTGCTCTCACCCTCGCAGGGGATGTCGCACTCGCTCTCGTCGATCAGCTCCGAGCCCGTCAGCGAGTTACCGCAGTAGCACTGCCCGCCGTACTCCGTGCCCGCCAGCGCGAAACCTTTGCTCTTGCAGTGCTCGACGCAGAGGGTGTTGGTCACCTCGCCCAGGTTGGGGCGGATGTCGCCCACCAGGGCGCGGTCGCGGGAGTCCTTGAAGCAGCCGGCGTACTTGTAGCCCGCTACGTCGGGGAGAGTGGAGGTCGTCCCGTTTGTCAGGTCGGGGGTGGAGGTAGCGGTGGGGTCAGATCCAGGGGTTACGGTGGTGGTCGACCATTCGGTGACGGTCTCCCAGACCGTGGAGGTGCTGTCGCTGCTGGTAGGGGCGGGAGCGCCAGCGGCAGGGGAGTCGGCGGCCTTGGTGGTGCCGGGAGCTGGGGGGGCGGGAGCAGGGGCGGAGGCTGCGGGGGAGGCGGCCGGGGCAGCAGCAGCAGAGGTGGCTGGGGCCTTGACGTTGTTGATGGCCGTTGTCTTGGAGGAGGCGACCTTGGAAGAAGAGGGGG